CCATGATTTAAAACACTGTGTAAACATACTGTAAACGTTGTCAACTTATTTCGCAAGTATGGAGAACAGCGATAGATGGACGGACTCTGAAGTGCAGGCACTTGTAGCAAATGTAGCACTGCCAGTTGTCGTTGGGAGTTTCTTAGTCCTCCTTTCCGTTCTTTCAATCGCTTTACGTATACGTCGACTTTCCATGTCCATTATTGTGAAACCTGCGAGACACAACAAAAACACAGCTCCGAACACAGCGTCCTCCATCCTCCTGTTGTTAATGTTGTTCTTCTTTGTTTCTGTTGTTGAACGCCGCGCACAAATGACGACGCTTTCAACCGGCTTACGTCACTTCCTAGTACACACTGTCGGTGCGAATGCAACCCTTTAAATAGTACTGGGAAATAGTTTGCGCAAAATCGTCCCAGTACTTTAGTACTGTACATTTAGTTCTGGAACTAAAGTGGTGCGAAAGGCCCTATTGGTACCGGTGCCATATTGGTACCAGGTTTCGGTACCCAACCCTACTTCAAAGTATTGAGCAAAGGCGGTGAATACTTATGTACGTGTGTTTTCTTCAATAAATTTGCAAAGATTTCAAACGAACTTCTTTCACGTTGTCATTATGGGGTATTGTTTGTAGAATTTTAAGGAAAATAATTAATTTAATCCACATTTCCAGTCAAGTAAAATGACGTCACCTCTATCTCTAAAGCGCTTTATACAATAGTTTTTTTCAAAGATATTAATAATAATATTGCAGTAATATAATATTAATAACATAAATTCATTTTTCAATTATGCAAACCGAAGCTTTCAAAATAAATGGAGTGTCTATTCACTCTTGGTGCAAATGGCCCGATTTGTAGGCCGAGCTTATTTACATCATCTCTAAAACAACACTTGAAAAGACGCCTGATTACCGGTAGTATCAGTGGTGTAGCGAGTAATGCTGCCATCACATGCTATCGGAATTATAGTAAATACGCAAATTAGACGTGAATGTCTCTCAAGTCGTATTTACTACTGGGAAATAATTTTGATACCCGTTTCCGAGTTTGGCGGAAACATAGTGGAGGGGACAACCAGTGCTGCTGTCAATGCTGTTCCCACAACAGCTACATCACTTTGTCTCGTCGCTAAAATAGTGTATTTATAGGCTAGATATGACCGTTCATTCGAAGCATATTGTATGTTTTATAAACTGTGAAATAAGCATGCATTTGACCGAAATTCCAGAATTGTCAGCAAACTGCATGTGTAGCGCGGTGAATGTTTATGATAGTCAACCAATGTGCTGCCACATTTGATTTCCTTCCGACATTAAAGCACTTGAATACGACAAGCTTGTAGTCTCGACTTCATAAGTGGGAAACAGGGAGCTTCCGATAGCACGTGAAGGCAGCATAAGACCCAAAGCAATCGCATTCAACACGATCAACCCGAGTTCGAACCCGCCTTTTGCCAAACTCGTTCTTCACCTTTTCCCATCACCTCTCTGATTGGAAAGGCGTTTATTTTCATTAAGAATAAAGGAAATGACTGATGAGCGATCCATCTGAAGAAAGGAAACAGATGGCATCAAATACAGCATTTTGCATTACAGTATACCATGTGAAACTGGCGTATGGTACAGTGACAAAGTATTTACTGTATTGGCAGCAAACTCCGTTCTAGCACGTGTCATACTTCATCACAACTTTTGATGAGACACTGAACAGATATCTTTAAAAACTAAATATTACATACAAAATGTAGCCTGAAAGTGTAGTGAATAAATATTTTTTTTAACTGTAGCCTACCCCCCAGCCACCACCTACATCTCACTCCAAGATGAACTCAGAAGTTGGCAGCCATGCACAATTGCATTTAGTGTAACTAGAATATACTGCCTTTTCCACTTAGTGTAACTGCCAAAGAGAAAATAATATAATCGCTCAGTTAAAGACAGCTCAGTGTTGATTTAGTTCTGTTCAAACTGTAGAGTTCATTAAGAAGTATTTACTGTATTGGCAGCAAACTCCGTTCTAGCACGTGTCATACTTCATCACAACTTTTGATGAGACACTGAACAGATATCTTTAAAAACTAAATATTACATACAAAATGTAGCCTGAAAGTGTAGTGAATAAATATTTTTTTTAAAAACTGTAGCCTACCCCCCAGCCACCACCTACATCTCACTCCAAGATGAACTCAGAAGTTGGCAGCCATGCACAATTGCATTTAGTGTAACTAGAATACACTAAGTGGAAAAGGCAGTATAACTGCCAAAGAGAAAATAATATAATCGCTCAGTTAAAGACAGCTCAGTGTTGATTTAGTTCTGTTCAAACTGTAGAGTTCATTAAATATTAAATGAGTTCAATGGGGTAATATAGCATTGTTTGCTAGTATGAACTCTTATTAGCAAGGCTTTGTAAAAAGAACATTAGCACATTTATTTGTGACAGCTGTGCTTAATTAACATTCAGTGTCATGTAACAACACTCTAGCATACTACTCTGAAACATTATTTGTTGCTTATTGTATGCTGTTTCACACACCGTCCCTGAGGGGGAAATAGTAGGCGGTGTGCACCGTGAGCAGTAAGCAGTAGTGTGCCCTTTCGAACACAGCAAGTGAATAATTTTGTCGTTTCGTAAAGCTCCCTTTCTCCATCACTACTCGCAAGTGACTGAAATCGTGTTTTTGATAAAGGGAGCGACATTAGACGCATATTTTCTCTTACTCGTTTGTGGATGCGCTTTCCTCATGTTAAATATAAACACGAGAATAATAAAGCATTATAATGTTACATTCCAGTTCATTAAATATTAAATGAGTTCAATGGGGTAATATAGCATTGTTTGCTAGTATGAACTCTTATTAGCAAGGCTTTGTAAAAAGAACATTAGCACATTTATTTGTGACAGCTGTGCTTAATTAACATTCAGTGTCATGTAACAACACTCTAGCATACTACTCTGAAACATTATTTGTTGCTTATTGTATGCTGTTTCACACACCGTCCCTGAGGGGGAAATAGTAGGCGGTGTGCACCGTGAGCAGTAAGCAGTAGTTAAGTGTGCCCTTTCGAACACAGCAAGTGAATAATTTTGTCGTTTCGTAAAGCTCCCTTTCTCCATCACTACTCGCAAGTGACTGAAATCGTGTTTTTGATAAACGGAGCGACATTAGACGCATATTTTCTCTTACTCGTTTGTGGATGCGCTTTCCTCATGTTAAATATAAACACGAGAATAATAAAGCATTATAACGTTACATTCAAGAACACTAGCATCGCTTGTAAAAATACATAATTGTTTGAACGGTTTAGATTAAAACATTAAATGCTTAAAAACACACAGGTACCTTTCTTAAACACAGATGCAGGAGCGCGACGCGTATTTATTACGTCACATCGCCAGATCAAAATAAAAGTCCACAAGAGTCTTCTTCTTCGTCTTCTTCTTCTTCTAGGATTTAATGGCTGCTGGAAACCATGGTGGTTTCACCTACTGGAAAGGAGTGTGAAGCGCACAATGAATAGGAAGTTTAGCAACAAGAGCTAGTTATTTAAAATAATAATAATAATAATAAATAAATAAATAAAATCCAAGCCCGGAAAGAGAAACCGGTATCCTAAATCCTATTAATCAATCCTGTTTCTTTAAAATAAATAACTAATTTGTGATATATATTCTTGATTGCTTATAAGGTCCATCGCCTAACAAATAATAAATAAATAAATAAAATCCAAGCCCGGAAAGAGAAACCGGTATCCTAAATCCTATTAATCAATCCTGTTTCTTTTAAATAAATAACTAATTTGCGATATATTCTTGATTGCTTATAAGGTCCATCGCCTAACAAAACCTGGAGTGACAGATCTTTTTTCTTTTTTTTTGAAATATCTTAAAGCTCGACTTAGTTGGAAACGTTCTCTTTTCATGCAGGGGCGGATTTAGTGAATTGGGGGCCCCAGGCAAAATATAGGAATGGGGCCCTATACATTTGCACACATTTTCTTAGATCAACCTTGAGGTTCCATTTTGTTGTTTTCAGCGTAAGCCTGTGTGCAAAGTCTGTCTAATGCTAAACATTCAAATACATTTATTTTTTGTTTATTAGTAATAGTAAATTTAAATAAAACTGAAAAAATAATGAAAAAGCAATTATACAGTTACACACCTAAAATACATATATCAAGAGCATGCTCACAGATGAGAACAAAACAGCGTTGGATGAAGTAGATTAGAGCCCTGTACGGGCCTCAAATATAGGCCCTAGCGCGTCTTTTTTCCCCTTTTCCCCAAAAAGTACTACTGTTTCAGCTATTAAAATAGTTCAGTTTTGTATGCAATGGAAAAGTGATTATATTTTGTTTCGTTGTTTTATAAAGTAAATTTAGAAAAACATTTGTAGTATTTTTTGTTCGTTAAATGTACGTTTTTTAGTTTTTTTAAGTAAGGGCCAGCGGCAGACAGTGCATTGATCATAGCCTATAGCCTATGTTTGATCAATTTAGCCTTCTCAAATCATCAGGACTTGCCTAAAATGAAATCTATATATAAAACAGTTCAAATATATCACAATGTTAGTTTAAATGTTTAACCTAGATAAATGTGTGCTGTTAGACGTATATCCAATCGTTTGCGGAGGAGTGGAAGCTGAAGCTCTGCAGGACGCGGAGGCGCCAGCGCGATCACTTCATTTTTTTCTAAAAGTGGAAACAACTTAAAATACGCAGTCATTTTTGCTCATAAAGGTAAGAGTAATACATCATTCTAAACTGTAAAGGGTCTACTTTTATATGTGTGCACTCAAAATATCAACAAAACGTTGTGCTTTTATAAAATAAAGAAAACAAACGCTTTCTGCCGTCTCGGTCTTGAACAGGAGTGCTTCACAATGATGAACCTAAACTCAGACA